GAGTCAGTTCTGACCCATAGCGACCCTGTATAAGGTTTCCGAGGAGCAGCTGGTGAGCTTGAACCACCAACTGTGCAGTTCAAATGGCTTTGCAGTCTGGCGCATTTACCCACAGTGCCACATCAGGACTCCAGGCTTGACTTAGTCCTTGACAAACAGAAACTTAACAAACAGCCTGGAAAACTGTATGGTGAGTGATAAGTGGCCTGTAGAGAAAAACAAACAAACAGGGTTTCAGATTGTTTGGAGAAAGAAACCCTCTAGACCCCTCACACAAGTCTTTCACAGTCTATGGGAAAACCTATGCAATATCTTGAATCCCTTAAGAAACTACTCTCCAGTGCACTCTTCATGTGCCTATTTCTCCATGGTAGAACTGGTGATGGTATGCAGTGGAGTCGGTTCTGACTCATAGTGTTCCTGCATAGGGTTTCCAAGGCTGTAAATCTTTGTTCTTGTTGTTAGATGCCACCAAGTCGGTACTAACTCATAGCGACCCTGTGTAGGAACAAAGCCTGCAGGAATAAATCTTTATGGGAGCACAAAGCCTCATCTTTCCCCCTTAGAGTAGCTAGTAGATTTGAACTGTAGGCCTTGCAATTAGCAGCCCAACTTGTAACCTACTATGTTACAAAGGCTCCTTTTGGTAGAAGTAGTCCACCCTTCATTTTTACTTCTGCTTTCTTTTCTCTGTTGTTAGTTATTACTTGTTGTTATGTGTCATTGAGTCAGTATGAACTCATAGCAACATTATGCATAACAGAACAAAACTCTGCCTGGCTCTGTGCCAAATTCACAGTCCTTGCTATGCTCAAGCCTACTGCTGCTGCCACTGTGCCAGTCCATCTCATTGGATGTCCTCCTCTTGTTCACTGACCCGCCACTTTACCAAATATGGTGACTTTCTCCAGGGACTGATCCCTTCTGATAATATATTCAAAGTATTAGAGACCAAGTCAGGGCATCGTGACTTCAAACGAGCATTCTAGCTGTACTTCTTTTAGTTCTTTTGGTGGACCATGTTACTTTTAATATTCTCCTCCAACACCACAACTCAAATACATGAATTCTTCTATGGTCTTTGTTATTCATTGTCCAATTTTCACATGCATATGAGGCTATTTAAAATACCATACTTGGGTAAGGTGCACCTTAGTCCTCAAAGTGATATCTTTGCTCTTGAACATTTTTAAAAAGCATTATGTAGCAGATTTGCCTAATGCAATATATGCTTTGATTTCTTGACTGCTGCTACCATGAGTGCTGATGGTTGATCTGACCAAAATGAAGCCTTTGACAACTTCAATCTGTTTTCCATTTGTATGGATGCTATTTATTTGTTCATGTGGTAAGAATTTTTGTTTTCTTTGCACTGACATACAAACCATTCCAAAGTTGTGGTCTTTGATCCTCACCAGTAAGCATTTTAAGTCCTCTTCACTTTCAGCAAGCAAGTTTGTATCATCTGCATATCACAGGTTGTTAATGAGTCTTCCTACAATCCTGATGTGCTTGTCTTCATACAATCCAGCTTCTCGAGTTATTTGCTCAGCATACAGACTGGAAAACTATGGTGAAAGAATACAACCCTAGAACACACCTTTCCTAACTTTAAATCACTCAGTGTTCCCTTGTTCTATTCAAACAACTGCTTCTTGGTCTATGTACAGATTCCTCATTAGCATAAGTAAGTGTTCCGGGATACTCATTCGCCACAATGTTGTCAATAGTTTTACTGAGTGTCAGTAAAGCACAGGTAAACATCTTTTTGGTATTCTGTACTTTCATCCATCTGGCATCAGCAATGGTATCCTTTGTTCTGCATCCTCATCTGACTCCAACTTGAATCTCTGGAGATTCTCTGTCGATGAACTAGTGTTGCTGTTTTTGAATTATCTCTAGAAAAATTTCATGTGCATGCTGTATTAATGATATTGTCCAATGATTTCCACATTCCTTTGGGTCACCTCTCTTTGGAATGGGCACAGATATGGGTCTTTTCCAATCAGTTGGCCAAATGGCTGTCTTCCAAATTTCTTGGCATAGATGATGTGTATCTCCAGTGTTGCATCCGTTTGTTGAAAGATCTCAGTTTGTATTCTATCAATTCTTGGAGCCTTGTTCTTTGCCAATGCCTTCAGTGCACCTTGAATTTCTTCCTTCATTATCATTGACTCTGGATCATATGCTACCTCTTGAAATGGTTGAACATCCATCATTTCTTTTTGGTACAGTGACTGTGTATATTCCTTCCATCTTTGCATAATTCAATATTTTGCCCATAGAATCCTTTAATATTTCAAGTCAGAACTTGAATTTTTTCTTCAGTTCCCATGGCTTAAGATCTTTGCACATTTCATTGAAAAACTTGACTTTATCTTTTCGGGCTGCCCTTCGAAATTTTCTATTCAGCTCTTTTATCTCCTCATTGCTTTCATATGCTTTAGCATCTCTATGCTAGAGAACAAGTTTCAGAGTCTCTTCTGAAATCCATTTTGGTCTTTTCCTGATTTCTTGTCTTCTTAATCATCTTTTGCTTTCTTCCTGTATGATGTTCTTGATGTCATCCCACAACTCTTTTGGTTTTCGGTCATTAGTGTCTGTCATTAGTGCCTAACTCATAAAATCTGTTCTTGAGATGATTTCTAAATCCAGGTAGAATATATTCAAGGTTATATTTTAGCTCTTGTAGACTTGTTTTGATTTTCTTCAGTTTCAGTCTGAATTTGCATATGAGCAATTGATGGTATTTTCCACAGTCTGCTCCTGGCCTTGTTTTAACTGATGATATGTAGCTTTTCCACTGTCTTTTTCCAAAGATATAGTCTATTTGATTTCTGTGTATTCTACCTGATGGGATTTATGTGTATCGTCATCTTTTATGTTGCTTAAATAGGGTATTTGCAATGAAGAAGTCATTGGTCTTGCAAAATTCTATCATGGATCTTCTGCATCATTTGTATCACCAAGGCCATATTTCCCAACAACTGATCCTTACTCTTTGTTTCAAACCTTTACATTCCAATCACCAGTAATTATCAATACATCTTGATTGCAAGTTTGATGAATTTCAAACCGAAGAAGTTAATAGAATGCTTCAGTTTCATCATTATTGGCTTTAGTGGTTGGTGCTTCAATTTGAATAATAGTTGTAATTAAGTGGTGTCCCTTGTAGGCATATGTATACTATTCTGTTACAGACAGCATTGTACTTCAAGATAAATCTTGAAATGTTCTTTTTGATGATAAATGTGATGCCATTCCTTTTCAATTTGTCATTCCTGGCATAGTTAACCATGTGATTGTCAGATTCAAAATGGTCAATACCAGTCCATTTCAGCTCGCTAATGCCTGTTGTTGTTGTTGTTGTTGTTAAGTGCCATCGAGTCGGGTCTGACCCATAGCAACCCTGTACAGGGTTTCCGGGGGTGTAAATCTTTACGGGAGTAGAAAGTCTCATCTTTCTCCCGTGGAGCGGCTGGTACGAGATCGATATTCATACATTCTATTTAATTTTTGAGAACTTCTAGTTTTCCAAGTTTCATACATTCCATGATCTGATTATTAATGGATGTTTACAGTGGTTTCTCTTCATTTTGAGTTGTGTCCCATCAGTAAATGAAAGCTTTACTCCATTCACATCATCACAGTCAACTCTACTTTGAGGAGGCAGCTCTTCTCCAGTAGTGTTTTGAGTGCCTTCCAACCTGAGGGGCTCATAGTATGGCACTATTATCTGTACCACTGTACAAATATTAAGTAGATACAACTTTATCTCTCTCAGTGTGCTTCATAACAGCATGGCCATCTTCCACGCACAATACTTCTCTATCAGTGCTATGCTCCACTATTAGAGAAGATTCCAGAAACACAGTCAGCTCTCTCTTATTGTATTGCCTGACTTACCGAACAATGAAGAATGCCACAAAAGAACTAAAGCAGTTCAACAACAATAAAACTGCATCTATTTCTCCCCAGCCATGTCATCCCTTTCTTTTATCTACAAACTGCTAATGATGTAAATAAATTATTTTTAACTTCCTGATCTAAAAAAAAAAAATTCAGTTACATGTTGAATCAATGCAATACATCTACATAAACAACATAGCAAAGAGTCTTGAAATCAGAAATACCTGGTTCTATAAGGGTCAACAACTTATAGTTATGCAATATTTCTCTGTTCAATTTTTCTTCTTTGAAATATGGATAATAGTAGTCACTATAGCATAGTGTTATGTATCAGGCTGTGAGCCACAAAGTCACCAGTTCAAAACTACCAGCTGTTCTGTGGGAGAAAGATGAGGCTTTCTTTTCCCATAAAGATTTACAGCCTCGGAAATCTTGTACAGGGTCGCTATGAGTCGGAACCAATTCCACAAGACACAACCACCATCTCACTTACTTAGAGTGAAGAATAATATCATTTGTATGACTTTCTTGCCCCAGCTAGCAAATGGAAATCTTTAGATAAAGATGATTTTAAGAGAAAAAAAAAAAAAATCACAGAACTACAAGATTTAGGAAATCAAAGTATTTATTGAGGTCATAAAACATATACCTCCATAATTATTGTCATAAATATTAATAATAATCTTTAAATCAAGTAGCAATATAAGATATTTCCATAAATAAGTTCAAATTAATAAAATGGTTTAAATAAAATACATAATTATAATAATTAATTAATTAATAAATATATGATATTTGTTAGGGAAGCTATCTTTTTTGCAAAAATAGACAACTGCTTAAAAACTAAAATATTTTCTGTGTATAAGATACAAACTACAATTAAATACTATCAGTAAATCTCTTTATGCTTGAAATATAGACAAAAGTGATATTGTGTTCTTTTTAAGCTAAGCAAGGGTTCATTTAGAATCCACCCATGATGGTGAAATTTGATGTTCCATTTTTCTTTCAGCTAAAAATAAAAGCGTGAATCTTATTGTTATTTCTAACAGGCAAGAAGGTTAACGATTCCTCTTCCAGCTTTGCTCTGGTCAGACACAGGCATTTTTCAGGAAGGTGAACAGCAAACCCACTTCTCCAATTGCTTTAATCTCTCCACTCTCTCCAAGCTGTAGAATAAGAACACAAAAGCGTTTGAGCATTTGCACCGTGTTTTGCAAAGAAGAACAAATTAAAGTGAGGTGGTGTCATTAGGTTGCTAGAGACACAAATCAAGTTGTAGCCTTTTGAAAAACACAATAATAAAAACACCCATTTAGTAAAGAGTATAACATGACTTGTCAAAGACCGTAAAACCATGGCTATTGGAAGTTAGCGGGTACCAGCAGGCATCATTTCAACTGTACCTCACATTAATGAGGCTGCTTAAAACCCAGGCAGAGGGTTGCCCACCCCTTTCCTAACCCAAGCAAGCATATCAAAGTTACACTGAGACTTGGGTTCATTAATGACTTGCCCTGCATCATGGTCCCAAAACACTCTATGAAATCTCAGCTCAGACAACCTAAATCAAAACCATACAACTTCAGCCTTATCTGTTCTCATCTTCTTGACAAACGAAAAAAGGTGTCACTTTTATAGGAAAAGTACCAAATAAGCCCTTTCCATTTGCTTTAATTAAAAGAGAGTCAGATATAGGTCTTAACATTGAGTCTTTTTCTCTTTCAAACAGTACACAGATGAGACTATCAAAGTCAAGCTCAAAGTCTCCTCTACTAAACTTCATCTAGTAAATGTGTGCTAGAGTAGTTCAAGAACAAAATCGTAAGCCATCATTGTCCCCTCTACTCTGTTCTCCTTTCTGCTCCTCCTTTCTTTCACGACCCTACTTTTGCATGCTTCCTTTGACATTATGAAACAGGATTTTTTTTTAATATTTCAAAGACTTTCAAGACTATAGAGAATTTTTAAACTCACCTAGCCCTACCTTCATACCCTTTTATCTCCAGTGACATGAGGACTAATATCTCTCACTTCAGACAGCTCTGACCAGTTTTTAATCCTAATGAGCTTTCTCCAGGAGCCCTGGTGGCTCAGTGGCTTAAAGCATATGACTGCTAACCCAAACATCAGCATTTCAAACCCACCAGCTGACCAGGGCAGAAAGATAAGTCAGTCTGCTCCTAGTTGCAGCCTTGGAAACCCTAGGGAGCAGTTCCATGTTGTCCTCTATGTTGCTATGATCAGAGTCAACTCGATGGTAGTGGGTTTGGGTTTGGGTTTGGGGGTTTATTGTTGTTGTGAAGTGCCATCGAGTTGGTTACGACCCATAATGACCCTGTATAGGGTTTCCAAGGAGCAGCTGGTGAGCTTGAACCACCGACCTTGCAGTTCAAATGACTTTGCAGTCTGGCGCATTCGCTTACAGCATCACACCAGGACTCCATTTGGGGTTTGGGGGTAGTTTTCTCTAAATAACTTTCTCTCTTTCTGGGGCCACAGGGGGGAAAAAGCACAGGCTTCTACATAACCAATATGAAACTTGATTCTTTCTGAGATTTGATTAAAGGTTTAAAAACTTGTTTCCCCATACAAAGCACCATTAAATGTCTCACTTCTCTTTTATAAAGACAATACAATAAGCTGTTATCAGTATATTTTTAAACACAAAAATATGAAACACTCCCTGGCTATATAGCATGCTAATATTCAGCCCTCTGTATCTAAGGAGCAGGTTTGTAACCAGAAAATTGCTCCTTATAATGAAAAACTTCAAAACCTTAAATTATGAAAGGAAGAAATAATTATGTTCATTAAATTATGTTGTTGTTGTTGTTGTTAAGTGCTATTGAGTTGGTTCTGACCCATAGCGACCCTGTACAGTGTTTCCAAGGCTATAAATCTTTACGGGAGCAGAAAGCCTCATCTTTCTCCTGCGGAGCAGCTGGTAGTTTCGAACTGCTGACCTTAAGGTTCGCATCCTGATTCGTAACCACTAAGGTACCAGAGCTCATTAAATTATACTTGGAAAAAATTAATATACTCATAGATATATTACATATATAAAGACTTAAAATGGAAGAAAATGAGATTAAATTAGGTGCTGAAAATTCCACCAATTAGAACCTTTGTGTTTCTAATATTTCTGAGAGTTTAAACTACACTGGTTTGCAAGAGCATCCCTTTCTTGGCTACTTATCATTCCTCAGAATCCCAGGATGGTGCAAACCATTAGTACTCTTAAATGAAAAGGTAGGGGTTCATATCCACCCAGCAGCACATTAGAAAAAAGACCCGGAGATATACTTCTGAAAAATCATTCAGTGAAAAATCTATGGAGCACAGTTCTGCTCTAACATACACTTGGGATCTCCATGAATTAGGATCACCTAGAGAGCTCTGGTAGCGTAGTGGTTACGAATCGGGCTGTGAACCTAAAGGTCAGCGGTTCGAAACTACCAGTCGCTCCGTGGGAGAAAGATGAGGCTTTCTACTCCCGTAAGGATTTACACCCTCGGAAACCCTGTACAGGGTCGCTATGGGTCGGAACCGACTCGACGGCACTTAACATACATACATACAGAGAGCAACTGGTTTAAACATTCCTCTGTTTTTTGCGTGGGTCACAATAGATCATCTGGGTCTTCTAGTGTTGTTTCTGATCCCCAACTAGACCACCTGAGAATATCATTCTCTATGAAAACCTGCACTGGTCCATGAGAGGGAGATTCTCACTATGGATTTGTTGAGGGAAGGAGGTAGAAAACTAGAAAGAGGAAAAAGAGAGAAGTAATAAATTCCAATTTGGATTTTCTTTTCACTAAAATAAATCAACCTTTGCTAATGTTTTCACTTTATTTGAAATTGTAAAAAAAAAAAAAAAAAAAAAATTCTGAGTCTAAAAATTAGTTTTTATGAACTAAAATTGATATCTGCTAGATATTACATTAAGAAAATCTATTTCAGTCATTACAGAAATTTTCCTTATGTGCAAATCCAGCCATTTTTTAATTGTTGTTTAAGCTTCTGTCTCCAAATTTAAGTTATCTAATTAAGGTCTTCAAACACTTCAAAATAAATTTGCCCCAAGCACTTTCCTACTTTTAAACAAATTTTTCTCATATTACGTGAGTCAATAGGAAACTGACATTTCCCTAAGAACTGATAATACTAAGACAACATATTTCTGCTTGGTCTAGAATTCAAGAGACCTGCATTCTATTCCTGGTTCTGCCACTAGTCATCTCAAGATGATGGGGTAATGACTACATGACTTAAGTTTCCAGAAAGTTCTAGAATTCTATCATTTGCAAATTTTAGAAGTTGGTGTATACATATATAGACATATCTACATACATTTGCACCTAAACAATCAACCTGCTAGTAGAATCAAATAGAAGTCACAGAGTAGAAAAAAGAAAGAAAAGACAGACAACATGTCTCTCCAATTTAACAACTTAGCATTAATAGTTATCGGTAGTACCTTTTTCACTGTGTCTGCCAGTGTTTGCACTTTGCTCCGAATATGCTGACCATCACCCTGAATATGCTGTAAAATGAAAGCAAGAGAACTATTTCAATGTGGTCATACTGAAGCTTACTTACTGAACCTCGGCCTTCCTATCTGAGGCACTTTACAATGCACTTGGAATTAAAAGCTCTTAGTAATATTGCCCGCAGTGACCTAGATTTCCAGAGTGACCTAGATTTCTGGAGCTCTTTAATTCCCTTAGACATCAAAATCCAGTCACTTCCTTTACATGGGACCTCTCTTCAATTGTAGGAAAACCTACTGAGGTTTCAATTTGTGGAAAAGTTGAGTGGTTTCTATGCAAATTCTCTAAGGAATAAAGCACAAATTGTACCTCATCAAAAATATGTCCTCAGAACCAGAAAAGTACATAAACATCATTGATGAACAGTAGGTTGCCCATTCCAATCAAAACCTGTCTCATGGTGTAACTTGTTCAGAAGCATCCAGTTCACACACCTCTAACCCTGTCACTTCCCATGACATCAAAAAGGACAGCAGTCTCCATACACTCACTCTGAACATTAAACATCCACTTTCTTCTTTTTTACTTTCCTTTTCTTTCTCATCCCCTCCTCCAACAGCTTTAACTCAGTGAGTCCATTTCTTCTTCTAGGTTGTTTACTTTAAAGCCCCCAATAACTTCCTCATCACACATGACCTGAGTTGCTAATTTCTAGTGACAATAAATTTTTTCTGAATTTGTAATTTTTGGTCTCATTCACCACACCATAAATTCAAAATGTGACTCAATTAAAGCAAAAACAAACAAACACTGTCTTATTCCAAACTACTCTTGGCAAGAGTGTTGCTGAGGAACCGCTTACTGCCAGCATCCTGGGAATAGAGGGGCTAAAGAAGGAGGAAGGGAAAAGTAGAAGTTAAGGCAGGGAAGGGGGCCTTAAATGGAAGGAGAGAAGGAAGGAAAGCAGCTAAGAGTGGGTGAGCTTATGCTGGGAGAAGAACTTACGCATCGGCTTAGATTGCTGCTGAGTCTGCTCAGGAAAGATATCACCTCCTTCATATACGGCTGAAATCTATCAGGTTGGGGAAGCAGCACTTCTTCAAGGATGAAATTCAGCACCTGCTTCATCAGATAGCAGTGCTCACTTGTCTACAAAGCCCAAGTAAAACAGTGGTGATCACAATTGGCAGACATCCTTAGAACACCCACACCATCATCACCACCCTTCAAATAACCGCAGCTGGCACCAAATCCTGCTGATGTTGACTAGGCTTACATGGACTCCATGGAACAGTTGAAGATCAATGAGGCAAACATCAGTGTTGTTATCTGCCAAACTAGCCTGGAAAAGAAGAAACAGCCAAGTACATGGACATTGAGGAGACAGAAGAAAAGTCTGTGAGTACCCCAGCCCCTCTCTCCAGATCAATTCCAGGAAGTCTAAACAACCAATTCAGGTATATGTATGAGTTTAATTGAATGTATTAAAGAATAAAGGGGAAAAGAAATCCTTAGATGGACTACCAAATGGCTCATTTTTGGATAAACCTCAATGTTATATATTCTAAAGGCCAAAATGGAAGTTCTTCTGGTAAAACCAGTTCTCCAAAGAGTCTATAAAGGTAGACAGAAAACTATCTGTGGTCTTCCAGTAGGGACAAGTGTTGAGTGTCTGAAGACTTTAGAAATACTATGAAAAAAATGATATGAAGTATTTAGGCTTCAAGTAAATAAAATGGGAAAGCGAATTTGAGAGGAGTACCTCCTTTGCCAGCATGAAGGTATAGTTGGTGAAATAGGGCTGCTGGAAGTCGTCTTTGCTGAGCCTGCAGTGGGAACTGATGGGCGCAGCTGCCCCTCCCTGCACCCACAGAGCAATGAGCAGCAGGCAGCTGGCCAGGGTCCCCATCAGGGAAGCACTCACAGACTTCTGCCGGACAGACATCGTAGACAACTCAAACTTGAGCGACTGGAGGTTAGGGGAGAAGAACCTAGTACCGTGAGAACAAAAGATAGAAATAACATAAGGAAAAAAATTAGTCAAGAAGTATCAAACCAAACAAACCCAATATACCAAGTTTGCTGAAACATTTACCTGTTTCAACAACTCTTCTTGTGATGTGAATGGTGAAAGTTGCTGCTTTTATAGCCCCCAGGACACTAATTTGTGTGTGTGTATGAAAAATATGACATCAGCAATAATCTAATTTCCAGTATTGTGTTCTGAGAACTACCTAACCACCACAGGAGCCCACAAAGCTACGTCTTCTATTCTTCCCACTTTAAGATGCAAGTGTTTCCCTAAAACGTCACCATGAGGACCCAAAGGATGCTCTCACAGATAAATCCCAGAAATTTTCTAAACTCTACATAGTTTTTCAAAGAAAAAAACTTGCCTCGTCTTCATAGATTCTCGATTCAGCATAATAGTCTTTGATCTCCTAGAGTAACTGAGTAAGCATTTTGGTAACAGACTCATGTTCCTGCCAGTTTCTTAGCTCATGAGAGGTGATCAGAAATAAGGAACCCATGTCTTACATGCTCTACTTTAAAGCAGTAACAATTTGGAGTTAAGTCCATTAAAAATAATTATATCTCAACTATTGCAGCATGCTTAATCCTAGCAAAGTCTTACATTTAAAAAATAACAGAGTTGTCTAAACACTGCTTTCTTCCCATTTGGGGACCTACTCTTTAGCAATTATAGTAATTACAATATATACAAATATATCTTAAAATTTTACTCCTTGAATTATAATCAATATCAATTTAAATTTAGAAATTAAAATGCTGAGCACCATGCAAACATTTTTCATGGAAAAACATTATAGATTCAACAGATACGAACTTACTTCGAAATTTTAAGTGTGCTTATGCAAAGCAACATACAAGTTAAGTTTCCAAATCACATTTTCAAACAATCTTATGTTTTTATTACACATATGGATTTCTGAAGAAGACAGTCAAGCAATATAAGGGGTAAAAATTGACTTTAAATTATTAAAAGCATATTAAACTCTAAATGACACCTAAAAGCAAGATGGGAAAGGGAGGCAAATTTTAGATAAGTCTTCTGATTATAATGTGACAAATGAGAAATGAAAAAAGCTAAAGTCATTTAGTGGAGTTGACTGTGAGAACAGACATCCAGACAGGGCTCACCACCCTGTCCAAGATCATCTTATCCTAACTTACTAAACTTACTCATTTTCTTTCCACAACTGTTTATTCATTATCAGAGGTACTTTTCAGTAAATGGGCAATATTCTTTCAAAATATAACTCATCTATTTCTAGGGGAGGGACTATGAATTAGTGTAAATTAGTTTAATCAGATGTTTCTCCTCATAACTAGTTAAGGTCAGGAGTGCTGGGGAATTGGGAGAAGGGAAGTAAATAATTGTAGAATCCTGAGAATTTTGTGAGTTGGTACAAACCCAGGTGAAGTGCTTCAGTGAAGGGTTAGGATGATATGAGGAAACAACATTTGGGGAATTGGCCTTAGGAAAAGAAGCAAAAGGGAAGATTGGAGAGAGTGAATAAAAACCTGTTTATTACAAATGTTTGGGGCAAATCATGAACCTAAATAACGATGAGAAACTTCCTTATGCAATTTGCTATTATTACATGAGATACAGCCATTTTTAAAGAGCTCTGGTAGCGTAGTGGTTACGAATCAGACTGCTAACCTCACAGTCAGCAGTTCGAAACCACCAGCTAGCTGTTCATGGGAGAAAGATGAGGCTTTCTGCTCCCATAAAGATTTACAGCCTCGGAAACCCTGTACAGGATTGCTATGAGTCAGAACTGACTCCATGGCACATAACAACAACATAGCCATTTTTGTCCAAAAGTCTGAATACTAATTGTACCCCGGAGAATGCCTGTCATGTAGAAGGCAAGAATAAAAATTCACTAAATGCATGAAAAGGAGCCCTGGTGGCATAGTGGGTTAAGCACCTGGTTGCTAACCAAAAGAAAGGTCAATAGTTGGAACCCCCTTGTCCTTCTACAAGAGAAAGGCAAGACTGCCTGCCCCTTTAAAGATTTATGGCCTCAGAAATCCTAGGGAGAATTCTACTCTGTTCTATACAGTCACTGTGAGTCTAACTCTATGGCTGTGTGTTTAGAGATTCATGAGCAAAACTACGTTGACAGGCACTTGAAAACCCACAACAGGAAAAGTATTCTTTTGAAAGGTCCATCTCCCTAAGATAAATAGGACTTTTATTCGTTTCTTAGGTGAAACGGTCTAAATTTCCCATGCTCCTCAGTCCAAGATACAGCTGACTATTCCACACAAGACTCGTGTGTGTGTGTGCATGTGTGGGTCCATGCATGTGTGTGCTTGTTTCAGTCCTCACTTTCATTATTCTGCTTCCTTCCCCACCAAACACCCATCCCTTCCATAGCTCTGATACATTTTATCTATATTACTGAATGTTTGCATCCTTGTAAAACATTCAGTTTTATTTAGTGTGTGTAATTTTATTTTGTGGGAGAGTTCTCTCTTTTTTTTTTTTTTTTCATTCAAGACTATGGTCTTGTGATCTATCCAGGTTGTTGCATGCAGCTCATATGTCCAATGTGGCATCCCACTGTGTGTTCCCACTACATTCTACTTATTCATCACTCCAGTGATAGAAACTTAAATTGCCTCCAATTGTCTACTTTACAGACTTTGCAGCAATCTCTTCCGACCCCTTATAATGATCGTTTGTGAGAATATTTTAGAACAGCTACTCAGGAATAGGTTCCCTTCATCATAGGGATAAATATATTTACTTTTGTTGAATATTGCCACATTACTCTCCAGAAAGACAGCATTCATCTTTTCTCTCTTATCAGTGAGTAAAGGTTTCTGTTTCCTTACATCTCCACCCATATCAGTATTAGACAACTTTCTATTTTTTCCAGTTCTTGGAGGTTTAAGTGGTATCTTGATTGCAGTTTTAATTTACATTTTTCTTCATACACTTGAAGTCACTTGTGGCTTTTATAAATTGACTATTACACATCAGCTGCCCATTTTTCTATTGAACTTTGATCTTTTTATTGTTGATTTGTAAGAGTTCCATGTGTATTCTAGATAGTGCTCCATCTTTGGCTCCCAATTTGTCTTCTATTTATTATCTGTTGAACAGACAACTTAACTTGGATGTAAGTTAAGATATTATTTTTCCTTATATGGTTTGAACTTTTCAAGACTTTAAGATCACAAAGATATTCTAGCTTTTCTTCTCTTTACTTTGTGGGTTTTCACTTTCACAATCAGGTCTTTAATGCATTGTTGCATAAGATGGTAGTGGTGGGGGTGGTGTGCCGTGGAGTCAGTTCTGACTCATAGCGACCCTGCATAAGGTTTCCGAGGCTATAAATCTGTACGGGAGCAGAGAGGCTCATCTTTCTCCCATAGAATGACTGGTAGTTTCACACTGTTGACCTTGAAGTTAGCAGCCCTATTCGTAATCACTATACTACCAGAGTGCTGGCAGGTAGAAAATCCAGGTTTATTTTTCTCTACGTAAAAGTGCATTCACTTCCTAAGAAAGTGCCGCGAACTGGGTGGTTTATACGAACAGAAATTGATTGTCTGTAGTCTACTACTGCAAACTCAGATTGTTGGCAGAGCTATATACTCGCCAAAAATCCTAAGAGGAGATTTCTCTTCTCTTACAGTTTCTGGGAGCCTGAGATCACAGTTTAATTTAAAATGGACAGCTGATGTGTAATAGTCAATTTGTAAAAGCCACAAGTGACTTCAAGTGTATGAAGAAAAATGTAAATTAAAACTACAATCGAGATACCACTTAAACCTCCAAGAACTGGAAAAAGTAGAAAGTTGTCTAATACTGATATGGGTGGAGATGTAAGGAAACAGAAACTTTACTCACTGATAAGAGAGAAAAGATGAATGCTGTCTTTCTGGAGAGTAATGTGGCAATATTCAACAAAAGTAAATATATTTATCCCTACGATGAAGGGAACCTATTCCTGAGTAGCTGTTCTAAAAGTATTCTCACAAACGATCATTATAAGGGGTCGGAAGAGATTGCTGCAAAGTCTGTAAAGTAGACAATTGGAGGCAATTTAAGTTCCCATCATTGGAGTCATGAATAAGTAGAATGTAGCATAATTATACTGTCACATGACTGCCTTCTCTCTGTTTCTGGTCATCTTTTATAAGAGACTGATTCAGATTAGATTAGAGCCCACCTTACTCTGGTATGCCCTAATTTAAACTTAATTGCTTTTCAAAGACCCTATTTTCAACCAAAGTCATGTTCATAGGCTTTAGGGCTCAAGACATCAACCATCTATCTGGAGGACATGTTACATGCACAACAGTGAGCCAGCTTCCCGGCACAAATTTTGTTGTTTTGTTAAGTGGAATCAAGTCAGTTCCAACTCATAGTAACCCTGTATAGGGTTTCTGAGGAGCCACTGACCTTGCTGTTCAAACTGACCTTGCAGTCCAGTGCATTATCCCACCGTGACACACCAGCACAGACTGGTGGTGGTGGTTATGTGACATGGAGTCAGTTCCAACTCACAGAGACCCTGCATAGGGGTTCCAAGGCTGTAAAGTGAGTCCTTTATCATTGTGGATAGCAACCAAATTAAATCTAAATCCTCAATTGTCACTTCTCTGTTCAGTTCGGATACCAGCTGCCCATGCATCATTTCTTTCTCTGACCCTAACTACCAAAAACTAGAACAAGTATCACAAGTTAAAAGGATAACATCCTTCAAGCTGCTAAATAGGCAGATGCCAGTCACACCATTTAGAAAACTAGAGGACAACCTCACTTTGGATCAGCTGGCTAATAAGTCAGGAGTTCCCTCTACCCCTTCAGGATATCTAGCCCCCATCACTTCTGATCTGTTTGCTCCTATTTCTTCCAGTTTTATCATTAGATGAAATGAATCAGAAATCACAGAAAGC